TGGGCGTTGGGGCAGAGCAAGAGCAAAAGAGGGAGAGAGACAGCAACGCAGAGTGGGACAGAGACAGAGGCAGGGAGGGAGGGAGAGGGGGGGAGAAGCCAAAACTCAGGTCCCACCCTCCCCCAGTGGCAGCTGTGAGGGAGGGGCAGGAGGTGCAGGGCCCCCATCTCTGACATTTTGTGCCAGCTCTGCCCTCTACACACAAACTCTCAGGAACCATCGAGACCCATTTTGCAGGAGACAATGCTAGGCCCATGGCCAGTGGCAGGGGCAGAAGTGGGGCTGTAGCTCACCCGGGGGTATCATGGCCAAGGCCGTGGCCTCACCACCATCCTCCCTGACCCGTCCTCCCCACCTGCCCCCATGGTGACACTCCCACAAACGACTTCTGCCCTGTGCACTCTGGGGCTTCCTGACCCCTGGGGAGAGCGGCAAAGCCTGTGGAGGCCAGAGTGCTGTGGGCTGGGAGACACCAGGGAGACCTAGCCATCTGTACCATCACTGTGGACGCAGCTGGGCAGTGCTGCCCACCCAGCCACGAGGCATCATGGGGCCTCAGACCAGTCCCGGGCAGGTGGGCTCCCAGAGTTGGGGTCCCTGACCCAAACCACCCCCTCTACTCCCTCACAGGCCAGCAAGATGGCTGGGATCTGGGGACTCGCTTGCCCCTAAGAGTGAGGCTGCGGTGACGTGGGCAGCTCTGGTGCCGCCTGCCCCAGGGGGAGAAACACAGCTGTGGCCGCCGGCCGTGACTGCTGCTGTTTGGCAGAGAAGCCAGGTGTCCCAGCTCTGCTTTGAGGAGACCCAGTCCATCGGGGATGTGTGCACGACTGCGCGACCCCACCGTGCACCTGGCCCAGGTTGGGAGAGACGCCCACGAGACCACGGCTGGCCTCCGCACAGTGAAGGCTGTCCTGGCCCTTGGGGTATCTTGGAAGAGCCTGGCATTCTCTTCTGGGTAGCTCTCACCCTCTCAAAGCACAAAAGCACTAAGAACCCCAGACACATGCTACATCCAAAGGGAAGGCCAGGTAGCTCCTGGGGTGGGGGAACGGGGGACACAGAACCAAGCTCCCAAAGAGCACCTGACACCCAAGCCAGAGTCGCAGCTCACAGCTTCCACCCCCGTTCATCCATGCTGCCTGCCCCTGGCCACAGACACCCACAGGCCCTGAGGCCTGAGATGCCACCACGCCCTGGTCAGAGGCTCAGCCCACAGCCTACACCCCACGACCCGTACTGAAAATGTGCAGCTAGCAGGAACCGGCCTCTTTCCCTGACCCTGTCATCAGGGACGCGGCAGGGAGGTAGCCCCGGGGGCAGGCACACCCAGCACAATGACAGGGTGAGCATCTCATGCCCTTCTAGTGGGCCAGCCACAGAGACACCCTCTCATCAGCCGCCCTGTGGAGAACCACAGCCAAAAGCCTGCACTTCCTGGGGACTTCATGGTTCAAGGGCTACTTTAGAACAGAAGAAAATAGCAAATCAAAACTTCGGTTTTTCTTTCTTATTTACAACTCAGGACAAGACTGCCTGTGACAGCATCAGACTCAACCTGATGTAGGCTGCAGAGTGGTGACTGTTCTGGAGAGCCCGCCCTCCCCAGCCCACACGCTCACCTGAGCCCCCTCCGCCGACGCAGGCTCACCTGAGCCCCCCACCAGCCCACACAGGCTCACCTGGGCCCCTCCCCAGCCCACACACGGTCACCTGAGCCCCCCCCAGCCCACACAGGCTCACCTGAGCCCCCCCCAGCCCACACAGGCTCACCTGAGATTTCCCCCAGCCCACACAGGCTCAGCTGG